CAAAGCAGTCACAGTATCACTGATCACTCACCAGATTGATGGCAGCATTGAATTTTGTAAAACATAGGTGCGGTCCAAAAACAAAAATATACTCCTAATCATGATCTGTCAAACAAAACAAAACAAAAACATTCAAAAAGAGCAAAAAAAAAACCACCACTGCCATTCTCTTTTAAACATTTTGTTCTCATTAAAAGGGATTCTCAACTGATTTTCAACATCTAGTTCAGTTTACTTGTGACAAGGATCTTGTGAAAATTGTTGTACAATGTTTTCTCTGAAGGGTCAGGGTTAAAAACCCCGAACCTGAAGCGGGTGTGAAACTTTTACAGGAACCCTGTGTCACAAACGGGATTATTTGCCACAGTCTGTTTAACAAATATTGCCATTATTGTTGGTCCCATGTGCCATGCAGACAGATTAAACTTTAATTGCAAGTTTCATACGGACAGTGACCTTTTGGTTGAAATTGAGATTTAGTGAGTATGAAATTGAGATTTATTGAGTTTATACATTTTTGTGGAGCTCAGGGATAAGAGGTTCTTGCATATCTCAGGACACATTCTACGTGCATTTCTCGATAACACCGCGGGACTGCCCTTAGCTAAACAGGCAAAACACTTGACAGTGTATAACACACACTGTTAGAATTTTTCAACTGTCTATCTTCTCTCCCGTTATTTATACCCAGTTTGTTTTGTTTGACTCACTGTGTTGTGTGGTAGCTTTCACTGGGATCCAACAATACGGTGCTAAAACTCCTCGTTAAAATCCAAGATGGCAATACTTGTGACTGGTGGGCTACTTAACAGGCTCCTTCCTAGTAAATCTTATCACCAAATAATTTGCCAAACATGAGTCATTTTCTCAAATTTCTTAATCACATGCAGGACGGTTTTAACAGTAAATAACAAATGTCCGTTAGGCAAGTTGTCTCAACTAAAGAGTTCATTGTTGCACATGTGCACACAACAGCGGCAAAGAGCAGAGATACAAATATTATAGTACTAAGAAGAGTGATGGAGCCATCTTTGAAAATTCAAAAACAAACTACATGGAGAGTGATGTTACTGTATATTAACTGACTTAACTGACTTTAAAAAGACAACTTATTAAGGTTGTAAAACATACCATTTGTCTGCAGTGATCTTGCCAGCATTTGTCAATTTTCTTCAGGAAAAGCACACTATCCAGGGCATCCGTAAGAACAATGTTAAGGCAAGAGCAGGCATTCATTGAAAAGGTCTAATGTGATATATGACTGCATCATCAACATCTGGCTTTACTAAATAAATGACCGGTTTTACTCAGTGAACCAGGGATAAACAGAAGATGCAAAGGATATTCTCTGAACTGATCAATCTGTGCCTTGATGTGGTCTTCACACACAGCCCTCAGCTGTTTATAAAGCTTGGCAGATATCTTATGGGAGCACAAGTTTTCCACAGCCTGAGGGGACAAAATCAAGAGAATCAAAAATGATGGTCTCACCCACAGACCATACAGTGAGCAGTCAGCCGGCCTGCAGAAATACCTGGTAGAGCTCCTCTAGATTGTATTTGATTGAAGTGCTGTTCTGTATGGCCTCCACTGCCTCCTTCAGCTTCTGCCAGGTCTCCTGTGTGTAGTTCTCAGGCAACTTGGGCTTTTCTGTGTGCAAAACAAAACAAAACAACATTTTCTGACACAACTGTCAACTTCTGCAGGCCCAGAGTGTTTTACAGTGGACCGCTGTGGACCATTGTGCTGTGTCTCCAGTGTCAGCAAAACTATTTTAAAACAACTGTGTGTGTTTCTATCTAAAGTGCAACTAAGTGATATTACCAAAAAGTCAAACATTTGCATTAGGGATGATATGACTGTGTAAACTATGAGATGACATACATGTGTCTAATGGTCAGAAACGCTGCTATACCATTTATATCATGACATCTATCCTCTGAACATTTTATCTAAAAACTGTTTAACTGACAATATTTATTTTTATTGATACAGCATTATAAAATGATTTCTACTAGTATACAATATTTCATCCACACTGCAGACTCCTAATCTGTATGTTGTATTGTGTTAAGATGGCATATCACCTAGCTTTTTGTTGCTGAAAGACCATATAGCATAACTTAAATGTAGTGTTTTGGGCGTCTTATTAGTAATTTCAGAACTTAGCAGACTGTTGTAACTGAGCTAAATAAACAATAACTGCTTCTGCCTTACTAATTAGTCATCAGTGATGATCTCTTAGAAATACTCCTTAAATTATAGCTGCAACAAGTTGTGGATCAGTCACTTCAAGAGAAAATTGACAACAATTTCCTTAATCAATTCAAGTCATTTTTCCAACAGAAATGCTAACAATGTCTGTTTTAAACCTCTCAGTTATAAAAATGTCCTGCTTTTCTTTGTTTGATATTACTGTAAATCTTTTTTAAAAAGTTATCTTAATTTATTTTGGGGGCTGTTGGTCAGACAAAACAACACATCTGAGGAATGTAAAAAGTTGAATGGACAATTTTTCACTATTTTCTCACTAATTAATTGTGAAAGCATTGGCAGATTAACTGATAATCAAAATTGTTAGTTGTAGCCATAGTCTAAATAACTATGAAAATATATCCAAAACTACTTACTTAATAGATCTCAAAATGGTCAAAAATACATGTACATTTTGTCAATTAAGACCAGATCAATTATGTTTAGTTCTTTGTAATGTTTTTGTGATGAACAAGTATAGTGTTTATGGATCATTCACTCATTTAAGATCTTAATATTTTGGCATTAAATTGTAATGAACTCTTAAGGACCAACACAAATTCTATATATTGTCTATATATTGTCCCAGGTTCTACAACATATTGCCCATCAGCAGTTGGATTTGTTAAGTTGTAAATTGCTGTCAGTGACTGTTTTGGAGCTTGGGTCACATTATACAGCTGTTTATCTGCTACCTTTGAAGTTCTTGATGACTAGTTTCTTGGCAGCACCAGGTTTACTGCTGGAGAAGGTGCCGGATCCTGCGGTTTTCGTCAGTCCGTTCGCATGGTGTCCTACGCCACCGGGAAGGAACACGGCTTTGCTTTTGTTATTAGAGCACGAAGCAGCAGCAGCAGTAGCAGCAGCAGCAGCCTCCTCAGCCATTTTCACATCCAGTCCAATGAAATCCACTGATTCCTCAAACCGCAACTTCTTCTGAATGTGCAGCGGAGAGGGAGAGCAGGAGGAAGAGGAGGAATTCAGGGTCTTGGGAGGCGAAGAGGGGATCGTGTCAGTAATGTCTTCCCTCTCGGATCCGTTTATTTTCCTCTTCTTCGGAGATGTGATGTTACCGCTATCGTTTTTGACATCAGTAGACGCTTGTCTAGCCTCTTGGGTTGGCGGTGGTGGGGGATTAGGGGAAGATAAACCTGTTGGAAACATGAAAAAACGGGAAAAGCCTACTAATTCTTAACAGCCAGTCTTCTGTTCCGAAACTTCCAGGCTCGCCGGGGGTGAGCTCAGTGTCCGAGAGCTCTTATTTATCTTAACAAGCAGAGATTTCACTCCAGTCCTTTATCCAGTATAAAACAAGCAGTAAATTACCAACTACACAGCTCCACTTGAACCTAGCCTTGTCTCTTTCTTGTTATTGCTGGCAGGAGAGGAAAGATGGTTGGCTATTGCTTCCTCTTCGTGCCTCGCTTGTCTAACCGCGTTGAACACTCGTTTAGTGACTGCGTGTAAGCGAAGCGGACTAAAGACAATTACTTACAAAGGTAATGTAGCTAGAGGAAGAAAATACACTCGCATAACGATTAAACACCCGTTGCTAAACTCGGAAAATGTTCGTTCGTAAAAAGCTAGTCAGTGACCCCACCGGAAGTACTTTGTAGAAAAGTACTTTTTGCATAAGCGTGTTTTTTCGTGGTGCTGTAACTGTTGTAATTAGACACAAGATGGCGCCATGTCAACTTTATGGGTTTAGCATTATTTTCATGATCATGAAGTTGCCAAACACTGATGAATAACTATATTAAGTAAATGTCCTGTATTAAATATATAACGTAAGTAAAATTACAAAAGTATTAGTTCAGAGTTAATTAATTTAATAATACCCAATACATAATGTGTGTAAATGGAAAGAGACTGTTTCCGTGATTTTTACACTTCAAGGTTCAGGTTCAAGGATTTTATTGTCAATTCACCATATGTGCAGGACATACAGAAAATCGAAATACCGTTTCTCTCTCACCTAGTATTGAGTGCCATAGCATTTAGGAACTAAAATAGAGTAAAGTAGAATAAAAATAGAATAGAATCAGAACAGGATTGACGTAAAGAAAGTCACTTTCGGCTTTTCCCGTCTAGGTGTCGCCACACACACTGACGACTCGCATGTTGACATTTGGCACGTGTTTTAAGCTGGATGCCCTTCCTGACCCAACCCCAATTCGAACCCGGCCGCTGCGCCTTAACCACAAGCCTGAAACTGGATTCACGTAATAAGGATAAATCTAAACGGTACAGCCAATAAGCTGTGACTCAGAGCCGTGTACAGTCAGTGACAGTAGTGCAAACAACAATAGGAGATTGTTAGAAGCTTCACCAGGGCGTTTGTGATGAGGTGCAAATAGCATATGAGATATACATGGTCAGTATTGCAAATGACTGTCTTCACATGAAGTAACATAATGAAAAAGTTGTTTTGTGTAGTTTTTACTGTTTCTGAAACAATCCCTTGCATCTTTTGCATTTTCCTTCATTTCCTCAGTCCATTTCTATCAAGACATTTATTTCACTGATCTACAGGTTTGTTCTGTGTATATTCTTTGTAAATACTAGTGTATATTCTTTGTAAAGAAAAGAAAAGAAATAGTAACTGGCCCTGTGTAATTTTTATATAAGGAGCTACCATTTGAATTTTGATCTGATTATTCATATGATGAAATAAAAAGCAACATTACTCGACTTGCAATTTTCTAGACTTGTTACAGAAATTACCTTGGAGACAGTCGAATTCGCCTTGACCTGCCGTATGAACCAAAAAGTGTCGTAAAACCACGCAATCCCCATACAACTGGCCCACCACTATTGAACAAGCGTGGGGTTGTATTACTTGATAGATGAATTGCAATTTGGTTGTGTATTTGTGTTTATTACGTCCGATCTGGCGCAATAAGTAGAGGCAGATTTTGTCATTATTGAAGAACGCGGTAACGGCGACCAACGAGGATGTTTAAAAAGTACGTTGTTTGTTATTTCCTTGTTGTAGCATTAGCTAACTACGGCTAGGTGGCTAAAGGTAGCTGATTAGCAATCACGACTGAGCTTTTGGGGGGCTTGAAACAATCTGATATGAATTATGATATGTTATGAAATTCTGTGTATTACTATTATATAATGTCTGTGCCATCTTAGAAGACATATTCTTGTCATTATTGTGTGATCTTAAGATAATTCATTTACGCTTCTGAACAGTACAATATTGGCTTATATTTGAAAATCAAGTTTTGTCATGTTAAGGCAAACCGGTTCAACCAGGCCCACTAACTAATATTCACAAGCAAAAAGCCGCTTGATTTCATAATCACGAACACCGAGTGGTACATATTTTGTTTAGAAAGTTTACAAAATGTACACTCTTGTCAATGTTTATTAGAAAAAAAACGATATTACGGTGGAAGAAGTGTCATATCACATACTGGAATAAAAGTATTAATACTATAGAGTAAAATACTGTTACTCATTTTGCACCGTGCCCCCTTTCTGATTGTTAACTTATGGAGCCCCCTGAGGTCCTGGAAAATGTTTTTTTTTATCATATGAGGATATAATGTAGTAGTATTTTGTGTGCACAGGTTATTGTTTCATAAAATAAGATCAAGTTAGTATTTTTTCAGGACTTCAGGAGCTCTTGTGTTAGTTGACAGGTTATAACTTCTATTTGATTGCCCCATGTAAATCCTAGGAAAGCTCTGTGCAGTTCCAGCATGAGCATGAATCATCCACATGCTGTAGCTGAGAACAACTGTGTGCGTTCAAATTGTCTTTAATCTATAATAATGCATTGTATTTTACAAGCGGATCATGCTTTGTATGTACAGTACAATGGAAATAAATAGTAACTTGTTAGATAAATGTAAGGGTATATGAAGCACAGTATTTCCCTCTGAAATGTAGTAGAGTAAATGTATAAAGTACCACAAGCTGGAAGTGCTCAAAGTACAAGAAAATCTAAATTGTACTTAAGTACAGTATTTGAGTTAATGTTCTTTGTTATTTTTCAACACTGCCATATTAACTATGTAAATCCATCTTTAACAGAAACAATCTGGATAAGATTTTTCCAGAGCACTTATCTGTATCTCACACATCTCACACCCTTCATCTCATATCTCATGTTTTGTTTCAGATTTGATGAGAAGGAGAATGTGTCAAACTGTATCCAGCTGAAAACATCGGTGATCAAAGGCATCAAAAATCAGCTGTTGGAACAGTTTCCTGATATTGAGTCATGGCTCAATCAGATAATGCCAAAAAAAGACCCTGTCAAAATAGTGAGATGGTATGATTTGTCATTTCATTCTTCTCATCAGTGTTTCATAGGCAGTGTTGTTTTGTTTAATGGATTTTGTTCCATTGTTTTTAGATTGCTTTATTTTTCCTCTTTCGCCAGCCATGAACACATTGAAATCTTGACAGTGAATGGAGAGCTGCTTTTCTTCAGACAGAGAGAAGGACCATTCTATCCAACCCTCAGACTGCTGCATAAATGTAAGCTCTTCTGATGCCAGTTGTCTGATGGTTTAT